TTTCAAACCTACCAATATTTTGACATTCAAAATTAAACCAACAATTAACTGGGAAACTGCTGGGATAGAGAGAGTGCCTGCAAACCTTCAACAGAAATCCAACCATACAAATATCCCTGTTGGTTTTAAGCTGTAGGCTGCATTTTAAAACCTGTTTAAACTCTCTAAGTTAATAAAACAGTCCCTATTCTTAGAGCAGTTGCACGTCTTGGGCACATCTGTGAAGTCACACAACGCCGATTAAATTTCCCCGCGGACTTGGGACACTCCAAAATAGCACCAGGCACTTGCCTTGCCCTGAGCCAGTGCCTCTCCTCAAATAAACCCAGAAACAGGGACCTCCAGAGAACCAGGACCACAGGACAACACCAGAGTTCTGGCAAATCAGGCATTTTTCTTCTGATCAGGAGGAAGGACCGACAACGTTTCTGAACTTCTACAGAGCCCACAAGTTCCCCAAATGCTCCAATTTCAATTATTGAGCATTTTCATGTTTAAACCTTTAGAATGTTGCAGGTGTTAGTTTAGAGCAGTTCCACTGGGACAGGTGACCAGGAACTACAGGCAACACACTTCAAGAGCATTTTTCCCTATTCTCCTTAAAACTTCAGGAGCGTGTTTACAAAAAAAAGCACAATGTAGAAACTTAACACTCAGGTGGGGCATTAAACTCTCACAGGCTCTCTGCACAAAGATATTCCATCTGCACTTCCAGCTTGCTTGGCAGAACTACGCAATCCCATCCTTTCAGGAAAGGGCAGCGCCATTCCCATAACACAATTCCCAGGACACAGCTCCCCTCATCCACAACCAGCTGGTGAGCACGGCTTAGTGGGATTGCACAAGGCTTGAATGTCCCAGCTCCCTGGCCCTGCCAGCACATTCCCACAGGCTGGAAAAGCACGGCTGGGTGACCCAGGAACAACGTTCCTCTGCTCCAGATAAGCAATGTGCTCCAGCGTGGTGAATCCCGAGCAGGCAGCTCGGCACACACAGAATCCCAAAACCGCCCACTTGACGCATGGAAAAATCCACACTGTGTTCAGTTCCCAGCAAAACTCAAGGAATGTTGTCTTGGAAGTGCCACAGCCAGCCCCCCGGAGAAGGCAGTCCCTGCCAGCCTGAGGATCTTCTGCCTCCCTAATCTCTCTTCCGGATAAATCCCCACCTCTTCCTCCAGACCAGCCCTTAGCAAATCCCATGAGGTATTTTCACAGATAAGGACAATCTCCATAAGGAATGTTTCGGTTTGAACACCAATCCCATCTTTCCAAAACCAGCTGGTTTGCCCACACACATCCTCATTTCCAAGGCCATCTGGGAAGACTCTCACAACACTGAATAAACCAAGAGGAACACGCCGGAAGAGGCTGCCTCTTCCTTGGCTGCAAATTCCATGCTCTGTGCACCAAATGGGCCGAAATAATTCCCACAAACACTGTATTCGCCCACAGAATCACTGCCATTTCCTCTTTTTTCCTTCTTTTCCTATTTAAATTCCTGAGCTCCACAGATCCCTGCTGCCACACCACGACCTCAGGGAACCCGCATCACGCCCGTGTGACGGCAATATAGAATTATTAATGTGAGAGATAAAAACTCATTAATAATCAAGAGGTGACGTTAAACCAATCAAACCCAAATTAAAGCAAGGCTCGGGAAAAGCAATTAACCCACAGAGTCACAGCATGGTGGCAAAGGCGCATCTGGCACCTCCCAACATCCTCAAATCAAGACTGGATGGACGTTCTCCTGGAAGACCCGCTTTCCCTAAAGACACGCTACAAATATATACAGAAATCAGGATAACAAAGAAATTTGAGGAGAAAATCATACACAATGTCCAACTACGTGCTCCCTTCACCTAAATGATTCCTTCCCTTGGCATTTCCTAGTGGCAAAAAGAGCTGCCAGGCTACACTGACTGAGCAAGTTCCCCCAATGGAGTATTTTCCAGCCCCGAGTCATTTATGTGGAATAAGAACAGAGATATTAGCACACCACTGGTTTTCCAAAGTTTCGAACAGATATGAAGAGCAGGAAGCCAGCTAGGAAGCTCCACCTTTCACAGTGATCCCATTTATAGCAGGAAAATTGCCTCTGCAAAGTGAACTACTCCAGGAATGATTTCTGACTGTGTTTACAGATCCCAAATCCTTTCATTTTTCCAGATAGAGAAAGCCACAGGGGTAAGCTTATCCCTAACTTCTGGACTTCAAAGAGAAAGTACATTCCATACTTTTCCAAAGTCAGAGGGTAGCCATCCTCACAAAATCCCCTTTCCTCTAGCCACCTTCACATCACGAGAAGAGTCCCAAGGGTCACAGGAAGAAAAGAATTTCTCTGGATAATCTTTATACTTGGACACTTTAAGAACTGAGTCATTGCCAAAGGACACTCTGTCATGCACAGGTCAAAAGGAACACCGGGAAAAGCCTTGGGACTTTTCCAGGTGTTTAAGCTCCTGTCTGTCAGCAAAAGTTACTAGGGAACAGAAAATTAGATAAACAGAGAAGTTAAGGAACAACTCAACAGACCTGTCCCTGCTGCCCTCCTGAGAGAACAAGGCACATCCAGATTTCAAAAGGAACAATCCACATGGTCACACTGACTGCATTCCAGCTTTTATTCTGGGATGACAGACAGCCCTGACACTACCACAGAGAGGTGCAACGAAGTGAGATTCTACAGCAAAAAACAGCATTTTGAGGCCTCACAAAACACCTGGCAAGGGCCACCTGAAGTAGAGAGTAAGGAAAGGACACTTTTACCCATTTTCCATTTATAGGGTGTCGCCAGGAGCCAGCGATTCACTCAGCCTACATGTGCTATGCTCTCCAGAGAAGGTCCTCTTGTCCCCAAGACCACGATGTGCCTTGGCTACACCCGCCTGTCGGGGTTCTGCAGAGATCCCGCCGGGATCCGGCAGCATCCCAGTGCTTCTTTGCAGCTTGCACTGGCAGGAACGTCACCTACTTCATCGGGATCAACACCCTCAGTGCCGCGGCTGCCCAGATTGGCAGGGTGAGAGCCAAGTGCACTCCCCTCCCCACTCCTCCATGACACACTCCAGCCAAATCCCATCGCCCTCAGCTCGTATTCCAAAGAAGCCTCAGCAGTGTCAGCTTAGTTTCCTTCACCCAAAAGGACGTGTGTTCAACACGAGCAGAAAAACCACGGACCTGCACACGTGTGAGCCGAGGGGATTTGTGGAACGACTCCAGCAAGGACAGGATTTAGGAGCACTTTTCCAGGTACAAACATACCACTTCCTGCAAGGATTGAATGCAAGGAAGAAAACCTGGCCCAACACCATCAGTCATGGGTTTCTGCACCCGTTCTACGGACCGAGACACACGAAAATACAACAGGACCGGGGCACGACCACTTTGGCTGTCTGCCAGGATTACTGGGAAAAACACGGATGGAAAAAGCCTCTTCCAAGACTGAGGGAGGGGGAAGAAGGAGGTGGGGTTCACATAAACAATGCTGATAGTTGGAATCCAGCAGAAATGCTTGCCTGCAGACAGCGGGCTCCCAGGGTGTTGGAAAACACCTCCAGAGCACTCACCCCATAACCCCGGGTATGGGGCAGCTCTAAGGGTCCTGCTCCTGAAGGGCTTGGGACCAGGACTGGGAAAGGAGGTGACACGACCTAAAGCCAGCCCCATTAAATTGCTAGGAAACAATGGTACTACAACACCAGGAAAACACTCTTAGCCTATTCCAGCACCAGTACACCAGCTAACCCAGGGAAACATGAACAGTGGATAATAGGCAGTAAATCCTTTAATTTTCCCTCCCAGACCCCCTGCCCATATCCTATACTTCAGGCTCTCATAGATACCCCATTTCCCAGTGCTGCCCTTCTATAACCTATTCCTCAGCCCCCCCATATCCCACCCCCCCGCCTCCCCTATCCTATTCCTGTGTCCCCCCCAAATTCCATTGCTCAGCCCCCCTCTATCCCATGCCTCAGTGTCCACCATCCAACACCCCACTCCCCAGACCCTCTCTATCCCATTCCTCAGTGTCCCCTCCACATCCTACTGTCCAGCCCTCCCTCTATACTATTCCTCAGTGTCCTTGCCCCATATCCCATCCCTAAGACCCCCTATATCCCATTCTTCATTCCCCCCCCCATCCCCGCCGAGGGGGATCCCCGGAGGGCGCCTCTCACCAGAAGAACGTGTTGGTGCCGTCGTCGTACACCTCGGACTCGGTGCTGCGGCGGAGACCGGTGCTGTCCCGCTCGGCCCCGGGGGCTCCGCCGTTGGGCTGCGGCGGTGGCGGTGGAGCGGGGGGGCCCGGCTGCTCCTCTAGCGCGGCCTTGCTCAGGGCCCCGCCGTGCACTCGCCGGTCGCCGCGCCTCATGGTGGCGGGTGGGACCGGGGTGGGGACAGCGGGAGGGGACAACACGGGGGACACACGGCGGGTCCGGCAGGGGTGGGAGGGAGGGAAGGGGGTTGAATGTGACGCGGCACGCGCGCGACCCCGCGTCCGCGCGTGCGCGGGGCGCCACGCCGGGGGTGGGCGGGGCCGGGCGGGGCGTCCCTCCGTTGCTGTGGCAACCGCGCGGCGCCGCGCGCCCGCCAGACGGCGCCACTAGCGCGCGCGGAGGGGGGGGGTGTCCCCACCCGGGTCCCGGTGCCCCCTCACAGGAGAGACCCCCCGGTGCCCCCTCACAGAAGTCACCCCCGGTGCCCCCCTCACAGGAGTCACCCTCGGTGCCCCCTCACAGGAATCACCCCCGGTGCCCCCTCCCAGGAGGGACCCCCGGTGCCCCCTCACAGGAGTCACCCTCGGTGCCCCCTCACAGGAGGGACCCCCGGTGCCCCCTCACAGGAGTCACCCCCGGTGCCCCCTCACAGCAGGGAGCCCCCCTGGTGCCTCCACACCCTTTCCACAGAAACGCAAAAGAAAGGGGGAAAAAAAAATGAATAAAGAGAACAGTCCTTTCAGCTGTGACAGCACTGTGCCATGAGCGCATCTACTCGGCATTGGCACATTACATCAGGATTGTTGTTTAATGCTAAAACTCTGCATCTCTTGCAAAAGTAACCAAAGAGCGCTAACTCACTTGCACACACTCACTTGACTTACTCAAGGAAAAGTGCTCTTTGCCAGACTCTTGTGTGGCCTTCAAGTACGCCAGACTGTGCTTTCCCATTAGTCCCATCCCTGATGCCGTGTCCGTCCCAATTCCCACATGTCTGTGTGATGAAACATTAAATATACGACCAGATTTGCATTTGCAGAAATGTGTTTTTCTAGTAAAAGTTTTTGTTCCCACCTGGAGAGCTCAAATGCAGGGTTGCTGGGTGCTCCTGTGCCCTCAGAGCTGATGTATTCTTAGAATTCCGCAGCTCTTTCCAAATTTTTCTTGGCCAGGCTCCTCGTTCAGAATGTGGCATGCTGATCCCGGATGGCAGGCAGGGAGCTCCGGCTTTCTGGAAAGATCCTGACACAGCACCAAGCACCACAGAGGGAACAGGACGCTCTGCAGGAGCAGACAAACAAAACCAGGAAAGAAATTAGAAGAAACATTTACAAGGCTGCAAGTAGTCAAGGTGACCTTCAAAGGTCCTTTCCAACCCAAGCTATTCCATGGTTCTATGAAATACTGAAAAACAGCAGGGTTAGATGGGATATTGTGAGAAATTCTTCCCTGGGAGGGTGATGAGGCCCTGGAATGGATTTCCCAGGGAAGTTGGCTATCCCATCCCTGGAAGTGTCCAAGACCAGGTTGGACGGGGCTTGGAGCAACCTGGGCTATTGGGAGGTGGGGCTGGATGGTCTTTAAGGTCCCCTCCAACTCCAACCGTTCTAATATTCTGGGATTCTATAAAATAAAGGAACTGGCCACGGGAGGGCAGCAGCCGGCTGGGTTCAGTTACCGTGAAGCACCAGCTCACAACCATCACTCATTAGTCTGTGAGGGGCTTTTATGAGCTGGCAAAGCCTCATTTCTGCCTGTTTGCCCTCTCAGATACAGCACCAATCGTGTATTTGCCGCATCTGAGCAAGAAGGGTTTAGCCAAAGATTCCCCGAGAATCTGGAAAACTCCTGCCCTTGGAGGCAAAACCAGTATAATGCAGTTTTGGGATATATAAAGGACATTTCTGGCTGCTGCACAATCCGCTCTCGACCTGAAACACTGGAGACCCCGTGATGCTTTATGAGACCTGGAGGCACTCACCTTGTTCTAAGAGACCACAGAATATCCCAAGTTGCAAAGGACCACCACAACCTCCAGTTGGAAAGGACAGTTTGGAATTAGGAGAGTCTTTATCCTGAGGGTGTCCCAAAAGGACCATCTCCTAAGCCAGGTACAAAGGAAAGCAATTCCCTTTTTAGGCTTCTCCTGAGTGAGAAAAAAAACTAAAACAAACAAATCAACAAAAAAAATAAAAATCCAAGATGCAGGGAACTGAAAAAAGCAAATAAATCTTTTAGCACCTTCCTGAATTAGGGATGTGTTCCTTTGCACACTCAGAAAGCATCACTGCCAGGGGAGGTGGCCAAGCAGCCTCTATGTGGCTGGAGTGGTTTCACACACAAAAGCCTCAGCAGTGGTCTGTTACCTCTCCTCAGGTGGGAATTACCCTCTCCACATCCAGCCAGGACTAACAGGTCAAGGAATGCTGCTGGAGCTGCAGTGCCAGCACACCCAGCATGGGCCAAACCGCTGCCCAAGGTGGCCGGAGTCCGTCGGTGGGTTCGGATGCATGACCAGCCCCAGCAGCCATGGAGCTGAACAGACCTTAAATAATTCTCCCTGCTCACACAGGACTTGTGTGGCTACACAGGCTCGAGCCAGAGCCCCACAGCACCTTGCGTCAAGTGGATTTTTCACAAGAGCTTGGCGGGTGCACCATCTCCCTCCCCGATTCCATCTTTCCCTGCTGCCGTCCCCAGGCCCAGGCAGCACCACAGAGCAATAAATGCAGAGGTGGTGCATGGTACGAGGGGAGGGAAGTACTGAAAGGGGGACAGCATCGACCTGGTCACCTGCCTAAACACAAAAGCAGCTAAATCTCGCCCAGGCAAAGCCGAATTCCTCCTAAACAGGAGCAGTAGCAGAGCAGTCTCCTCGGAGTGCCGTGGCATGCTGAAGGGGATGGATACCTCGCCCAAAGCCAACCTGCAGGCACAGACTCACCTTCCCCACTGGCTGATAACGCCCACAGGCTTTCAGGACTGCTGCTGGATGCCCACGCTCTGGAGAGCAAAGTCCTCCCAGCCCTAGTCAGGAGAAAGGAGCCAGGGTGTGGGTGGAGCGATGCGGTTGTTCCACCCACAGGTAAGCCCGTTTCCCTGGAACCAGCAGCGCTCACACTGCAAAGGTCTTTGCTCTGCTGGCAGGTGGAAAGCGCTGCCTGGCAGGGCTTCAGTCTCTCCAGGTAAACACACACACACTCCCACACCCAGGGAGAGCTGCTGCCCAGACAGACTGTTCTCCACTGCAGGCCATCGCTGTGGAGCACTCCTGGGAGGGTAGAGGTCTGCCCCTGCCTTCCCTCTGCACTTGGTTTCACACACAGCAGGACATTTGGAAGACAACTCTTTTTTTCCCCCTGTTTAATAACCCACAGGTCTAGTCTGGGGTCTGTTTAAGGCACTTGGCAAAGCCACAGGGTGATGGTGGTTTGACTGGGAACATCACTCTGAACATGCTGGCTCTGCTTTTCCTGCCAAGACACAGCTGGATTACCCCCCCCTCCCCCCAGGATTTATTTTAAAGTAATCCCCAGCAATGCTGTGGGAGAGCACAAGGGAATCCAGAGCAGTTATTGATCTTCCTGCTATTCCCAGGAAAGGCAGCTCTTCTTACTTGGAAATGAAAGTAACACACTCTCCCCCTCCCCGAAAGCCAGTATAAGGGGAGCTGTGAGACCTGGCTTACACGTAACCACCTTTCCACTCACCTTTTGTAAAAAGTGAGGCCCTCAGGTGCCTGAGGCACCTCAGGGCATGGAAACCCTTTTTAACATTGAAATTCCTGCTTCCCATTGTGCCAGTCACTTCTCCTACACCTTTGCACAGTGGCACTTCCAAGCCACAGCTCCAGATGGGAGATGATTCTGCCTCTCTGCTCTGCTCAGGTAAGATCCCATCCAGATCCCTGCTTCCAGCTCTGGGGGCACCAGCACAGGAAGGACATGGACCCATTGGAGTGAGTCTAGAGGAAGGACACCAAGTTGATCAGAGGGTTGGAGCACCTCTGCTGTGAGAAAAGGCTGAGAAAACTGGGATTGTTCAGCCTAGAAAAGAGAAGGCTTCGAGGTGACCTAACTGGGGCTTTCCAGCACCTGAAGGGAGCCTACAATGAAGCTGGAGGGTGGTTTTGGACAAAGGCCTGGAGTGACAGGACAAGGTGGAATGGCAAGTTTAGATTAGATATTGGAAGGAAAATTCCTCCCTGGGAGGGTGAGCAGGCCCTCGCACAGGTAGCCCAGGGAAGCTGTGGCTGCCCCATCCCTGGAAGCGTCCGAAGCCAGGTTGAGAGCACTGTTACACACGGAGGGGAGGGAAAACACCACACAACTTCCGGAGCTGCTTTACCAGCCAGTGAGGCGTGAAGAGAAGATTTCCAGAGCTTTCTAGAACTTCTGCTGATACCTGCTTCCTCCTTTGGGCCCCTTTGTGGCCCCTCTTCGGGGACATCGCAGGATGGCACGGAGAGGGGCAGAGGAGGGTGGCAGAGCCCTGGGGCCACAGGAGGATCTCGGCACATTTACCTGTCCTGGTGCTGGGCGGTTCTGGGCTTGCCACTCCCCTGAGCGAGGGTGAAGGGCAGCTTTCTCACCTCCTCCCGGTATCAGCTCCCTCCCAAGGCAGGCGGGAGTCCCACACGGAAGTCAAGGCGCTGCTCAGTGCACATGAGTCCTCGGGCAAAGGAGCTGAGCACGGAAACCACCTGGCAAGGAAGCCCAGGAGCCCCCAAGCCCACCTTGCCTGCGGATCTGCCCCGAGGAGCACCAGGACAAAGGAAGGCTCTCTCCACTTCACCATGCAGGTAGGAACAGAAACAGCTCCAATACTTCCAGGGTGCTGCTTTTCAGCACCTCTGAGCACCTGTGCCTCGGAAACAAGGGATACACTAAGCTCTGATCCCTACTACTCATCTGCTTCCGGCCTTTAGGGCATTCCAAAAGTAGTACAGGGGTAGCTGGGACGTTCTGCTTCTCTAGATTGGAAGATGCAGTTTCCTTTCCTTGAAAAAGCCAGGCAAATTCTCCAAGATCAGGGCAGGTGGTAAAGGTCCAGGTTTACCGTCTGCCTCTCCAGCTCAAGGCTGTCCCACTTCTCAGGAAGCCATTGGGTAATGTGGAGGTGCTCCAAGGGAAGTTGGGTGAGAAACACCCCAGAGACAAGAGCAATTTGATCATCTCAGTGTAGGTGATGGGAACAATCCAAACCCTCACCAATGCATGACTGGGAAGGAACACAAGGATGCTGGATCCTATCCAGGTCCTTGGCCCGAGTTAATCACACAGGTGACCCCGCCACCAGCCCAGAGGTGCCTGTGGCCATTTCCCTGAAGGAATGCTCAGGGCACTAGGTTACCTGGCCTGTCACAGGGGACAAGGACCACTGGAGGCACCTCAGGGTGTGGAAACTCTTTTTAACATTGAAATTCCTGCTTTCCATTGTTCCAGTCACTTCTCCTACACCTTTGCACAGTGGCACTTCCAAACCCTGCTCAGACCACGGAGCAGGAGGGAGTAAAACTGAAACTGTCCTCCCTGAGAGCAGGGATAGAGTCCAGGGTTCATACAACCCTTGCAGAGGCCGGGTGGCCTCACAAGCTCGTGATCTGACTCCCTAATCCCTGGGACAAAAAAAATTAGCTGTAGGAATAATAGTGATCCAAAGTCCCCGCCCTCTGCACCTGTCCCTGCCTACACATCTCTGCCTTCCATCAGGAGCTGGAGTGACAGGACAAGGGGGATGGCTTCAAAGTGGCAGAGAATAGGGTTAAATGAGATATTAGGAAAAGATTCCATCTGGGGTCAGCAGCAGCAGGACAACAGGAGGCGGCATTTAGGGACACCTCGAGGCCGCCCTGTCTCCAATGGGTGGCTTCCCCTCCACATCCCCATGATCAGAGGTGGTGCTGGCAGGGAATCTCTGCAGGATGAGGCTGGTGCACATGGAGGCTGTGAGAAACCAGCCAGGCAGGAATGAGCCAACATGACAGGGGAGAGAGCTGTGCCAGGCCTGATCTGTGCCAGCACCAGAGCATTGGCAACAGGGCAGAGCCCAGCAAGGCTCCCACTCCCAATCCTCTGTGCCCAGAGAGGGGCTCAGCCAGGGACAGGGAGAACCGTCACACCCGATCCTGCCCCCCAAACCTGATTAGAGCTCTGGCAGAGCAGATGACAACACCACAACCCCCCCCTCTGCCTCATGCCCTAAATTGAGTACCTTTTATCCAAGAGAAGTTCTAGGTCCTGTTACAACAGCACTGCTGGGGGAGAACATCCCTCTTCTCAAGCATTCCCACTTGGGCTTCCTGGCTGTCAGTCTCCTCACAGCTCCTGTGCTGTGGCTGATCCACGTGAGTGGAGGATCTGGTGGAACATTTCAGCCCTTTCCTCATCCTGGCCTCTCCTGCTTCCATGGCCTCATTCTCCAGTGAAAGCTTGGGATCCAGATCTTACATCAGGGCACAGTTTCACCACCATGGCTCTGCTCCCAAGACCACAGCTGGAGAAACCCGTCTGGCTGGGCTCTCTTTCAGGTCACAGTGTCTTTGGTGACCCCAAGTGACAATATCCCCGTCCCTGGCAGCTCCTTCCCGCTGCATCACCAGCCCTCTGGAACAGCAGCACAGCTGTTCATGGGGACACACCACGAGTCACAGCAAAGCACAGCAAAGAAACCCACAGGGCCACCTTATGGCTTAAGCTGAAGGAGGGCAGGGTTAGATGGGATATTGGGAAGAAATTCTTCCCTGTGAGGGTGGGGAGGCCCTGGCACAGGTTGCCCAGAGAAGCTGTGGCTGCCCCTGGATCCATGGAAGTGTCCAAGGCCAGGTTGGACAGAGCTTGGAGCAACCTGGGCTAGTGGAAGGTGTCCCTGACTATGGCAAGGGGTGGCACTGAATGGGCTATAAGATCTCTTCCAACAAAAACCATTCCAGGATTACCTGCTTTGTGCTTACCCAGAGCTGCACCCTTGGGTGTCCAGGTGTAATTCCCTGTAACCAGGAAGGTGGGAGCTGTCTTGGCCTCTGCACAGCCATTCTCTCCAGAGGCAGGGACACACAGGAGGTGGACAGGGAAAAGCCAGAGTTCCAGCAGCATTTGCAAATGCTCTCAGGCACGTGGATTTTTGGGGTGGTCCTGTACAGTGCCAGGAGCTGGATTCAATGATCCTTGTGGGTCCCTTACAACTGAGGATATTCCATGATACTATGATCAGCAGCTCGTCCTTCCCTCTCTGCCCTCTCTGCCCCTTGGCTGCATGTTTTCCAAGGATTTTTTTCCACCTGCTCTGCTGCAAGGCTGTGCCAGCCTGTCTGCCCCACTCTCCCTTCACTGGAATTTAAAAGTGCCTTCCCCACCCTCCCCAAAAAGCCAGGGTTGCCCTATCTGCCAGGAACAACAGACGAATGGAAAAGCCTGATTAGAGGCTGTAAAATCCACTGTAGCACGGAGAGACAGGGTGAAGTGTTGACACTCTTCCAGTACAAATGTCAGGGCATCAGGTGAAACAAGAGGGAGCAAAGTCCAGAGCAGAGGGAGGTTTTTGTTCCTGGCCAGTTCCCTCACAGCCCCAGGGCACCGCTGGGCACCATGACTTCTAGAGGAGGCTGTACACCTTCACAGGGTCTCTCCATCATCCTCGAACACAAATCCCCAGTTGGCTCAGGAAAACCCCAAACAGGCGGCCAGGAGTGCGTAGGAGAAGGTTTTGGACAAGAGCGCTCTTACCTTCCTCCCTGGGCATCCCCTTGAGGCTGCTGGGGGAGGAAAACACGGGATGCCCCAGGGAGCCCACTGAAGCCTTCCCTTCACCTGTTCTCTTCTCAGCAGGATGAAATTCTGTTGACTCCCTGGAGGGATTATCCTGTGGAGGACACAGACCCCTTCACCCCCCCGGTAAGCTCTGCTTCCTCTGCACCCACAGTGGGCTCAACCCAGCTCAGAGAGGGGAGCGGAGCAGTACCAGGGAAGCAGCTGCCTCAGTTTCCACATCCCCATTCCCTTGCTCATTCCACTTCCCCTCTACACAGCCACAATCAAGCTTCAAACCTCTGAGAGGCTGGAGCTGGGAGGGAGAGCTCTCGGCTTCCCATACTTAATAATTCCCTGGTGTTTTTGTGGGCAGAGGGAAGAGAAGTGGGATTTCGTTCTGGTGAGTGACATCCATGAAATGGGCAGTGAGAAGGAGACCAAGAGGAAGAAATTCCTGGATGAGCTGAGCAAAAAGGGGTTCATCATCAAGGTGAGGGGCTGTGGGAGGAAAAGGCAGTGGAAACTTGGCCTGGCTTGGGTTCCTGCATCGCAGGAAATGAACCATTGAGCTGGTCACCATATCAGTGCTGGAAAATAAACCTCTTGCTCAATTAGAGGGGAGAGACCATAGCCCCTGGCCCTTCCAGCTCTGCCCCTTCCCTGCCCCTCTGCTCTGTTCTAACAGCCCTTCTCTTCACCCCACTAGAAAATTGAGGACACGAAGCTATTTTATGGGGTCCGTGCCCCACAGCAGGTCTTCTGGAAATACCAGTGTCTTCTGGGGAAGCCAGACAAGAAGCTCCAAAGTGAAAATTCCCCCCAGGACATCCCAGTGACCACCAGGTAGGTGCTGAGCTGACTTCCAGCATCCTGCACTCAGCATTCTCCACACCAGCATCCATTATCCAGCTTGGCTCTCCCCAGCTTCCCCCCCATGGATTTTGGTGCACACCTTCTCCCTTCCCTGCCCTGCTTTCCTGGGCCACACAGCACAGTTCTGTGTCCCAGAGCAGCCTTTAACCACCATTTCTCCTTGCTCAGGATACGGATCGTGCACTTCATCCTGCAGAACACGGTGACACCTGACTTGGGTAAGGGAACAGATCACAGGGGTGATGCTCAGCCTGGACCTGCAGGCAGACTCCTGCCCTGTGGTGGGCACAGGCATCCCAGCCACCTTGCCACCCCAGGGAAGACGTAAATGGGGGGAGAAAGCTAGGGTGCAGCTCAGACAAGTCAATTTGGTGCTGCTTCCAGAGGCTGGGAGATTTGGACTGCAGGAAGCAGCAGTTCCTCTGCTCCCTCTCCCCAAATCCTTAACCCTCTCCCTTCTGCTCTGCTCCCAGAGAAGCTGAATGACCTGATGAAGAAAAAGGTGTTTGAGGCAGCATTTCCCCTGCATGAGGTGAGGCTGAGCACACAGGTGCCTGGCAGGAAAATCCAGGAGAGGTGGAGGAACAGGACAGGGTGGGATAGACCTGTGGGTGACTGGGGCTACCCCAGGAGCTCACTCGGGGAAGGGCATGGAAAAACTCCCGGCAGCAGCCTCGGAGCGGGGTAGGGAATTACTGCACTGATATTCCTGTATCCAACCCACTTCTCTGCTCTCCAGAAGGAAGCAGTAAGGGAATTCCTCAAGGAGAAGTGGGCTCGCTGGAGAGGTCTATTTAACGAGCAGCCAATTGAGAAGATCAGGTAACATGAGCAGAAGAGGCAGAACTTTGTAACCAAGAGGTCCCACCTGCGACCCAGAGAGCCTGATGACCTTTGCCAGGCTCCTGCCTTGTCTTTAAAAACTATCACTTTGAAACTTAAAATCATACCTCTGAACAAGCACTGGGCTGCTCCTGAATCTTCCAAAGCTCTTAGCCTGAGGGTTATCCCTGTGGCTCCCAGCTCAATCTGCTAATCCTGCAGCATGAAACAACCCCCATGTCTGTGCGGGTTTTAATTAACCCGCTTGGTTTTCAACCACATTCAGAAGGCAGGAAAGGTGGGAATGGAGCATCAGTGCAGCAACCCAGCCTGAGGCTGACCTTGGGGCAGTAAAGGCAATGAGGGGCTCCCACAACCACATTAAACCCCAGAGAAGAGCACAGTTCTTATTTTTGAAAACTAGCTCCATGGGCAGGAGGGAAAAAACAACATGTTACTTCATAAACCTGTGAAGGGGTTGTGGTAGGGAGGGGAGATCTTAAAATGGAGGTGCTCTCACCTTCCTTAAACATTTCACATGTGTAGAAGAGGCTCTGGAGACTGCACAAGCTGATTTCTAAGGTCAGTGTGTCATGACTTGTTGCTATTGCACAAGGATTAAAGGGTTGAGTATTAAATTGGGGGTGGTGGTATGGGGAGGTGTTGAGGTTTTTGTTTAAACAAAGGCCAGGGAGCACATCACCACCTCTGACTGCTGGTAAAAAGTTAATTCCCCTGGTATACAGAAAGGGAGGCCAGTCCCTCAGTCAGTAGGTACCATCATTTCTTACCCACACCTCCAACCCACTTCCTACACCATAAAAACCGAGATGCTGCCACTATGGGACATGGAAGGACTGCAGGGAGATGGCTGAGCCCAGGAGGAGGATTTGCTCCGGTCTGAGAAATCTTGCACCCCGCAGCCCTCCCATCCTCTTCAAGCCCAGTGTTTCTAAAATTGGAACCTGGTCTCTCAGCCTTTCCCTCCATTCTCAGCATGAGGCCTATTTGACACCACGGAGACAAAAAACAGCTGCTCTGCACACCTGGGCTTACTCTCCCAATCCCAAAGTCCCCAGACACTCAGATCCCCTGCCCCTCCCAGACCCAAAATCCCTTGGGGGGGGGGGGGGTTAAAGAGCATTTTCTAGTGACCCCCAACCACCTGATCTCCCCTCTGGCAGCAAACTCAATCTCACCTTTCCTCCCAGGTGCTATTTTGGTGAAAAGGTGGCCCTATACTTCGCCTGGCTGGGCTGGTACACCTACCTGCTGGGTTTTGCTGCGCTGGCCGGGGTGTTGACCTTTGTGGCTGGGATTACTCTCTTCAGTTCCAGCCAGGTGAGGTAAGGCACTTGGGAATGCCAAACACGCATCCCATTCACGAGTCTTTGCTCTGCAGGGAGCTCTGAGCCTCCATTATCCCCCTTTTCTTCCCTCCTGCTTGATCTCCAGCAGGGAGATCTGTGAAGCCAACACCACCCTCATGTGCCCGCTCTGCGACAACAAGTGCCCGTACTGGGTCCTCTCTGACACCTGCACCTATGCCAAGGTAGGGAACCCCCTTCCCAAAGGCAGCCCCAAGGTAAAGGATGGGGAAACACTCCCAGCTTCTGCTGCTCCCACACCACTGGAAAGAAAACCCGTCCCAGGCTACATTTTCTGCCTCCACCGAGGATGATTTTACCAGTAACAAGCCCCAGTGTCCATCACCTTCCTGCATTTTGCCCTCCTGCAGCACCCATACCTGTCTCAGGGCAGACCAGGGTGACAAGAGGATGGCTGAGCACACCCTGAGGCGTTGCAGCTCCTGCCCCTCCCTCCCCATCACACTCTTCTTTCATCTCCTCCAGGTCACTCACATGATTGACAACGAGGCCACGGTCCTTTTTGCCATATTCATGGCCCTCTGGGGTAGGTGCCAATGTCTGGGTGCCCAGCACACATGGGTTGGGAGAGGGAGCAGGTGGTGGAAAGTGGGACACCAACGCAGCTTCACCATTCAGGATGGGTTTTAGCCCTTATCTCCTCCCCTTCCAGACACAGCAAGAGACAAAATCACCCTGGTGATATCCTCCACCTCCCCAAACACTCCTTACCTGCCCTACCTGAAGCTTGCACTCACCACAGCCTCCCCCAAAGCACCCAGCAGCCTCTGGCTGCACTTTTTTATCAGCTGCCTGTAAGTGACCACAGCTGGAGGAAGGAGGGACGTCCAGAGCCCTCCTGAGCCTTTCCAAATCACTTCACATCCTCTTATTTGCTGTGGGATGACGGGATACCATCATCACCTTAGCTACACACTCATTTGGCTTTACCACAGTCCCCTCAGTTACCAACCACCACCGGTGTGGGCTGGGTGCCCACAGGTCACGGGCACGGTCCTGTGTGTAGCCATGGGCTGGGTTACACACGGTCAATCAGGAGGATCAGTCCAGATTAATAGGAGGGAAATGGATTTGCAGGGGTGTAGCCGTGCTAGGGTGCAGTGCAGGACACCCATTCCACCTGAAAAGTGCATTTTTTGTCAGTCTCAAATAACGTGTCTGGCTGGTGCCATGTGAACATGCCCAGTGCAGCAGGACAGCCCTGGGGCTCGCTCTGGCTTACCCCAAATTCCCTCTGGCCACAAGAGCTGGCCTGACTGTCAGTGAAAACTTACCTGCACCATCCCCATTGCCTCACTGCTCTATGTTCAGGGTCCTGCCAGCTCATCGAGCTGGAGAGGTGACCTGTCCTTCACGGGCCAAGGGCAGTCCAGGCTGGTTGGCATGAGGTTGGATGCCACACGACTCTCCATCTCGCTCTGTGGGACAGAGGGGTGGCTTTCAGAGCCATCCCTGAGTGTCACTGCACTCTCTCCTTCCCAATCCAGCCACTGTGTTCCTGGAGCTGTGGAAGAGGCAGAGAGCCACTGTGGTCACCAACTGGGACCTGTACGGGTGGGATGAGGAAGAGGTGAGGACATCATCTTTCTTGCTCTGTGCTTTCCTGCTCAGGAGTCACTTGGACCTAGAAAAGGCACATTAGGAGTCCCTTGCCCAGCTTGAGCTCAGTCAGGCTTAGCCATGCTCTTGTGGCTTGGGTGCTTATCCCTGTCCTTCTCCAGCGCTGCTTATCCCATATGTCCATTGACACAAGGACCCCTGGGCACAGCTCTGCTGGATCCTCTCCTTCCTTTTTTTTTTTTTTTTTTTAAATTTTTTTTTTTAATTCATTTTTAAGGAGGAGCTGGCTATGGAGCTGATCAATAATTTACAGCATGAACCCCGCAAGTACCAGCACTCCTACTTCCGCAGCACCATCGTCCTCCTCTTAGTTCTGTTGATGGTATGTGACAAGTGACCACAGCAAGGTCTGGTTTAAGGGCTCGTGGGCTTCCTCCTTCCCTCCCTACTCTGAAACGCCTCAGAGCATCCTATTGCTGGAGTAAAGGCAGAGACCAGGTCTTTAGGGTCAGTCTGTGCCCATTACAAGGATCCAGGGGGTCCCTCACGTTCACACCTTGCTGTGCTGATGGCAGGGGCTACTTACCGTTTGGGAACCTGGCCTGAAGGCTCTGCTCTGTCAGCAAAGATCAAGGCAGTAACCCAGAGGACAGGAAGAGGCAAATCTCAGGGTTCTCGTGCCTCTCTGTGGGTTGAGGGAGAGTCCAGACTGGTTCAGTGGAGACAAAGAATTCAGGAACCATAGAATGTTAAGGGTTGGAAGAGACCTTAAAGATCACCTAGTCCCAACCACCCTGCCCTGCACAGAGACACCTCCCACTAGACCAGAGTGCTCAAGTCCTTATCCAACCCAGTCTTGGACACTGCCAGGGTTGGAGCACCCACACCCTCCCTGGACAAACTGTTCCAGGGCCTCACCACCCTCACAGTAAAGGATTTCTTCCTAATACCCAGCCTGAATTTCCCCTCTTTCGGTCTGCACCCATTGCCCCTTGCCCTACTTGCAACACCCACCTCACAAACCTCCCGGAGCACAGGTTTGCCTTTGAGGCCACACCCAGATCCCTGGTGGCCCTAAGGGCGGGATGGGGCATCTGCTCTTCCACGGCCTTCTCCTGTTCCCCCGCAGATCACGGTGCTGATCGGCATCGCCCACGCGCTCGTCATCTACCGGGTGATCGCCAGGGCACTGTTCGCCCAGAGCAGCCTGGGGCTGCTGCGGGAGCAGGCCGACACCGTGGCAGTGATGACAGGGGCCGTGCTGCACTACATCACCATCGTCATCATGACCAAGGTGCCGAGCGAGGCAGGCGGGGGGCCCCGGGGGTCTTCTCCCGGCCTCACCGCCCTGCTCACACTGTCCCTCTCTCCTGCAGATCAACAGGCATGTGGCCCTCTTCCTGTGCAGCCTGGGTAAGGGAAACCGGGGGCATCTCCTGCCTGCACACCCACGCCTGCAGCGCCGAGCTGCCCGGTGGTACCTGTGGCACAGCACCCCCCCAGTTCCCAAAACGCACCCAGGCTACCATCCCCTCCCCCCTTCCTCCGCCTAGGATCCCTAGGCATCTCCCGGGAAGCTCCAGCCAGGCAGGTCCCCAGGGGAGGCCAGTAGCCCCCCAACACACACACATCTGTGGCCCACGTGCTGCCAGCTTTGCTGCTCCACAGCCCCATTTTGCTTTGTAGGGACCTTCACCCTACAGGGCTAAGACCCAGCATAGGCAAGAAGGCAACACAGCTCCAGGGTAGCTCACAACGTGGATTTCCTCCCAGCTGAAAGGCCCTTTTTCCCAGGCTCATGGTTCTGAGGGACCTCCTTGCTTAGCAGGGCTCTCCTCTGTCAGAGGGCACAGATGGAGGGCAAGGACACCTTTTCAACCTTCACAGAGCTGCTGTGGCACCTGAGGGGGAACAAGGCAGAGTCCCACTGCTCTGTGACCAAGCCCCCACGCCTTGCTCCCTTTCCTAGAGAAACCACGGACCTTCTCCCAGCGAGAGAACAACTTCACCATGAAGATTTTTACCTTCCAGTTCTTCACAAACTTCTCCTCGCTCATCTACATTGCCTTCTTCCTGGGACGGTGAGTGGTGGCTGGTGGGGAGCAGAGGGCAGACAGGGCGCGTGTCCCCAACTCTCCCCAGGGTCCAGGGACAGACCCATCCCCCGCCCTCCCTGCCAGGCACAGGGACCCCAATTTGGGACTCAGGGGACCATGGCTAAACAGGTATTGCTGTTGTTGCTTCCTTGCCCAGGATCAACGGCCGCCCGGGGCACTACGTGCGCATTGCTGGCCGGTGGAGGCTGGAGGAGGTGAGGCACTCGCCCTGAAGCTCTCTGACCCCACAAACAACCCTCCTCTTCCTTTTTCTACTGCCCCTAGAGAGGCTCTGGGAATCTCAGCTTCCTCCCCTAGCAAAGGGCCCCTGGGACCTGCCCGCCCTGCTTGCCAGGCACAACCCTTCTCTCCTCCCTTCCAGTGCCACCCCAGCGGATGCATCACTGACCTCTTCATCCAGATGGCCATCATCATGCTGCTCAAGCAGACCATCAGCAATGTGATGGAGTATCTCATCCCGTAAGCTTCCCTTGCTGAAGCTCCTGCACAGCCAGGACACTGTCACAGCTCTCACAGAGAGGAACCCTGGTCTTTGGGCCAGAGTGTCCTCCATTCCCTTCCTCCAGGGGTGTCCCAGCAGCAGTCCAGCCCTGCTGTCGTCTGCAGCAGCCACACAAATCCCTCTGTCTTGCAGCTGGATAAGCCACAAGCTACGCAAGAAGCATAAGCACCCCCAGAAAAGGAGCATAATTTTGGGAGAGGAGGAGGAGGCTGAGGACCCCTGCAAAAGGCAGTGGCTGAGCAACTATGAGCTCAACGAGGTCAACGTCTTCAGCTTGTTCAACGAGTTCTTGGAGATGAGTACGTAGGGCAGGCGAGGAGGGTGCTGGGGCAGAGCCACGTGTGCTCCTTGGCTGGAGAGTGCTGGATGCTGGGGAAGGGATTCCTGTAGGGAAGGGAGAAATTTTAGCCCCACCTCCATGCCCAGCCCCACTCTGAGAACTCTGGCACACCAAGGAGATCATTCCCAAAACAGAGGCAGCAGGCATCTGTGCTGGCCTCATACCTTCCTCTCCTCCCATGGTGATGGCTGTAATCCCAGCGTGGTCCCTCAACCAGTGGGTCCCCACAGATCCCCCCTCTGACAGCCCCACGAGAGCTAGGGGTCCCCAGTGGGGGTGTGGGGTCCCCAAGGCATGCCTATTTCCCATTCCCACCCCTGCAAAGCCCTGCAAAGCCCCTCTCCCACAAGCCACAAAGCAGGACAAACCCAGACAGTGTTCCAGACCCTGGAGGACATCTGCTCTGCAGCAGCTTCACACCAGCACCCGGTGTCTCCCCCTCTGCAGTCATCCAGTACAGCTTCACCACCATCTTTGTCGCTGCCTTCCCCCTGGCCCCACTCCTGGCGTTCCTCAACAACCTCTTCGAGATCCACCTGGACGCCATCAAGATGGTGCGGCTGCACCGGCGCATGGTGCCCAGGAGGGCCAACGACATCGGTGAGAGGGGTCCACGGGCGCCCTCCTGCCAGCACTGCTGCTTGGGCCAATGGTGCTGGGGCTTAGCCCCTTCCCCAGAAGCCCCTGAGCACCCTATGAAAGTGGGAGAGCACAGGGACAGCTGTGAGCTGGAGAAGGAGAAGCCGCTTCAGGCCCTGAAGAGGCTGAGGGGCAGCTTGGACTGGCCATGCCAAACCTGTCTCTGAGATGGAGCTGGGGCTGCAGTGGGGTGGCAGAGGGGTCTCACCAGCTGCTCTTCTCCTGCAGGGATCTGGCTTCAGGTCCTGGAGGCCATCGGCATCCTGGCTGTCATCGGGAACGGGCTGGTGATTGCCATCACCTCTGACTTCATCCCCATGCAGGTCTACAAGTACATGTACAGCCCCTGTGTGGCGGAGAACCACACCAACGTGGAGTGAGTTCTGTCCCTGAGCAGACCCCACCTGCCCCAGTGCCACCACTGCAGGAGCACAGGGAAGCTGAGCTGTCCCCCAAAGTGGGGTTGGGGGAAAGGGGAGCAGGGCAGACTTTCCGGTGGCATCCTCTTCAGCATCCAGCTGGCCTGCCACTCACTGTGTAACATGGGAGAGCTGCAGGACTGCAGAGGTGCTGACTCACACTCTCTCCTGCCCTTCCCCTGTTCCTCCAAGCCTTCCCTGAATGACTCAGTGTGGTCAAACTAGACAGAATTCTCAGAGACCTCCATTTCCCCCAGGCTGTGTGAAAATGGGAGGGAGCGAGGGGAAAGAGAGGCCCAGGTGGGTGCTGGCTCCCCCAAAATGGGAGGTTACAGTGCTTAACCACACTATGAGTTACCCGAGAACCCACACACCAGGGAAACCTTAGAAATGAAAGCTGCAGACAGATGGGTTTTGTTGCCACCTGGGGACCTCTGAGCTCCCCAGAAGGGACAAGAGCTGCTTGGCTTAGGGCCTCCCACAGCCCCCCAAAATGGCCACAAACCCAGTCCTTCCCTGCAGCTGCTCCACGGGGTACATCAACCACAGCCTCTCCGTCTTCCGCATCCGGGATTTCGAGCCCAACATGGGTATGCCTGAGATGCTGCCAAACTTTGACAGGAATGAGATCACAGAGTGCAGGTGAGAGCGGCCCCTCCACACACCCTGTGCCCCTCACCGTTACATCCAGCCTGCAGCCAGGGCGCGGGTGGGTGACAGAGCTGGAGGCAGCTGGGGGAAGCTGCTGGGGCTCTTCTCTGACCCCCATGGAGGGAGCCAAGGCAGGGTGTGACGCCTGGCACAGAGGAACCTGGGCTGGCACCGACGGGGCTGTGCTGCAGGTACCGGGATTACCGGCATGCCGATGACTACACCTACACCATACAGTTCTGGCACATCTTCGCTGCCCGGCTTGCCTTCCTCATCATCTTTGAGGTAAGCGCCCAGGAGGGCAGGAGAGGGCTGGGACAAGGGGGAAGGGACTGGGTGCAGGCCCCTTGCCCGGGCTGGGAGCCCTTGACTGCCTTTGCTCCCTGCAGCACGTGGCTCTGTGTGTCAAGCTGATCGCAGCCTGGTACATCCCCGATGTCCCCCAGAAGGTCAAGAACAAGCTTCTGTTCAGAAAACACGCTGATCTTCGTAAAGAACTGAGGTGGGTGATGCCCCAGAAGGTGCCAGGGGTTTGGAGACGGTCCACCCTGTAGCAGGGCTGCAGGATCTGTCCATTCCAGAGCCCCGTTTCCTTTGGAAAAAGAAAAGCTCCAAGTTAAAATAAGGAGTGATTTTGCCCAGCTTTTCTATCTAAACTTTGTTTAATATAAAAGGATTAATTATTTCAGCAGGAAATGGAAGCAATGTAAACAAGAGCCTCAGGCTGGGCCACCTTGGTGCTGCTGTCCCCCATAGATTGAGTACCACTCTCGAGAGGGCTCAGCCTGCCCCCTTCACGGCCACCCTGTCCAAACTGCCAACCATAATCCCAGTGGGAGCAGAGAGTGGGGTTCAGGAAGCACCACACTGCTACAGTTCAGCTTCCCAGCTCTGCCTTCCCCTTGACTGCAGGATTTCCCCCAAAGAGGGGTTTCCCACAGCCTGTCATTTTTCCTCCAGTTATTCTTGGCAAAAGGCCCCATTCCCACTCAGGGTGTTCTTCCTCACCTCCCAGTTCAGACGGTTCCCTTCCCCAATGCCCCTCTCTTCTCTCCCCAGCATGATGGAGTACTCCACCGAGGTGTAACTGCTGCTCACCGAGGAGAACTCAAGCCCCCTCCCCAGCCTGGCAGTGCCGTGGGTGCTGGATGAACCCCCTGGCACAGTGCCACATCTGGCAGCGCTGGACTTGAACTGGGAAGTGATGCCGAGACAGTGGCTTTGCAGGAGTATGATGCTTTCTGACTTGGAAAGGAAGGACGCTGAGGCAGAGCTGGGATGTGCCTCCCCTGCACATGGAGTAGCTGGGGCAGAGCTGTGGCATGGGGGACAAACCTGGGGGCAGTGCCTGGCTGGGCTGCAGGAGGCGACCCGAGTCCTCCTCACTCACTGCCTTAAGCACAGGAAACACCAGTTACCTTATTTCAGGTTCCCTCTGCAGGCCTTTTTTTGCACTTTGGCCTCTTTTTCCACTGCCTTCCGTGACCTCCCGGTTTCACAGAGTCCCTCTTTCACTGCAGTCCTCCTCGGCACGACTCCCACGTGGCTGCAGCTCCGACCTGCTGTTTCCCTGGAAAAAATGTCATTGTTATCCTGATTGAGTTTAGCTCCAGGCTCAGCTGAGTCCTGACAGTTGTGCCTGGCTCAACTACCACCAGCAAACAGTAAATAAACACAACCCACGTGTGGACACACAGACTTTCACCTGCTGCCTGATGTTGCTTCTACCTTCCTTCTCTGCCATCCCCAACACTCAAAGAAATTGTGCCCCAAAACCTTTCCTTGTCTCACTGGGGACAATCGCAACAGGTGGGAGCTGCAGTGCCCCTGGTGAGGGCTGAGTGTGAGTGCTGGCTGGTGAGACACCAGATTTTGGCACTTCAGCCATGCACAGTAGGAAAACAGCCTGGTAAGTGTGCCAGAATAATGGGGAAAAAAATCAGCAAACCTGAAGTGGCAGGGCTGGCAATGGTTATCCCACCTCTTCCCTTAGTGCTGTCTGGGCCCCCCCTTCTCTGACTTCTGCAGACAGAAGGGGTTTGTCTCCAGCAGGATTAGGATCCCACCCCAGGGCTGGATAGGTGCCACAATTCCAGGGGGGCTGATGAGTGATCCAGAGGCAGAACTGGGTAGCTCTTACCTACCACAGGGATAACCCTGATGGACAAAAAGGGTCTTATCAGCTCCCTATTTGCTCCCAAACCTCCTCACACCCTTGCCATCCCCAGGACCTGGTCTTGTTCCATGTGATCCTTTACTATCCCACAAATCCAACAGGCTTACGCTGGATTTCACTGCCAGCATATCACAGTGTCCATGACACATGTTCAGCAGTGCAGCCCCCCCAGAAAGGGCTGCTCCATCAGCTGCTGCCCCAGACACACACAGCCAACAGCTGTGGGGCACAGGAGTGGGGCATTCTTCCTAGAGCTCCAGTGGGGTTCCCTCTGTTCCTTTTCCCCCCACAACAAGCCAACAGCAGCGATATTTCATACCAAAACCAAGGAGGAGTCAGAGCCAGAGTGTTCCTCCATGTGAGCAGGCTCACAGACCTACCTGTGACCTGTACCTGTCTATTCTGTGTGTGTATATATATATATATATAAACACATACACACACCATACCCAGGGCCCTTTTCTTCCCTTTTTGGCCCCAAAGCACGTTCCAGACGATGCTTTTGCTGCTCAGCACCTGCAGTTCATATCGGTGTTTCTCCAGAGGCTGGCAGTGCTGCTGCTGTGACCAACCTGCGCCTGGGGTGTGCTGAGGCTCTAATCACCTCCTCGGTAATTAGTTCAGGTGATACTGCTGTCCACAAGCGGCCACGGCCAGATCCAGCTCCCCACAGCCAGTGGCAGCTGGAGCAGCCACCTCCAGTACCGGCTCCAATCAGCAAAGAGGCTCTAAAGTCACAGAGGGAAGGAAACAGAGAAAACAGGAGACCCCACAATGCCCATGGGCAGCCAACAGCCTCCCCCAGCACCCCCCACCAGTAACTCACCTCCGTGGAGCCAGAGAGTGTCAAGTTTGCCAGTGCTCAGCACACCATGACCCCAAAGTGCAGTCCCCAGCTCCAACATATCCCCAGGAACACCCCCCAACACCCTCCTTGCCTGGTGGTGGTGGGAAATAGGGTGGGTTTCATCTTGCCCTGACACCTCAGTGGGCTTTTCCAGCCATGGAAAAACATGGGGTTCCACCTTGGCCCCCAAGCCTTGTGCCACTTGTGCGTGCCTGGCAGGCTGGGCGGGTTGTTGCCCCCCTCTTCTTTTCTCCTTTATTCTCTCTTTTCCCCTCCCCTGAAGCCAGAGCTGTTGGGTTTTTTTTCCCTGCAGGTTCAGGTGGAGGTGGAGCAGCGGGAGGGAGGGACGGCCAACCCTTCCCACAGGCCTGGAGCCTGGTGATTGGGGCGGCGGCAGCGCCCAGACGAGGGCAGGGGCTGAACCGGGAGGAGAAATAGATAAAATATTAAAACAAAAGAAAAAGAGAAAACCCAAGCACTGACCTGGCTGGTCCAGTCGGCTCGAGCAGGAGGGGAAGGGCAGGAAGCCTGAGGCCAAGGAAGCTCCAAAGGTAAACGCAGCTCTGTTCCACTTCCCTTTCCGCGCCGATGTCACCTCGGACAGGGTCAGCAGGGTTTCAACCTCACCCCACACCCTGTGGTTCTCCTTGGGTTTTCCTTCACTCTCCTCTGGTTTTTCTCTGGCTCTCCACGCTGATTTCTCCTGCCCCACAACCCCCTTGGCCACCGTGCCTCCCTGCCCACCTCGCTTTCCCCATGCCTAAGCTCCAGGGAATGCTGCCCCCCAACCGGCACCCACCACCCCATGGCATCCACACGGTCCTCTGCCTCAAATCAGGGGTGTCCTCAACCCCAAGACGTGGGAAATGGGAGCTGCAGCTGCCTGTTAGCAGGCACTCCTCCTTCCTCTGCACTCAGAAGCCCTGGCTCCCACTCCCCTGGTGGGCATCCAGCACTGTGTCAGGAGCAAGGGCGTTCTCGGGACCTCCCCACACTCCCTGACCAGGTTGAAGCTTGTGGGGCTTCCTTACTTCAACCAGCTGAGGGAAATGATTTAGGAGTGACCCATCCAGGCTGGAGTGAGCAGAGCTGGAGCATCCTGCCAGGCAGAGACAGCCCCATGCCACCCTGGTGAGGGTCTCTCGTTCTTTCTGCATGCAAAATCCTGGCTGGCTCTCCTCCATCCCTTGCTCGTCCTTCCCTGGCCATGGAGAAATCCTGCTAATCCCTTAGGTACAAATCACTTCACAGCTGCTCAAGCTGAACACGTAACACGCGTCCCCCGCGTACCTTGACCCGCTGTTTAACCCCAGACTGGTCTTGGGTTGTGCCAGAGGGGAGCACCATGCCACCATCCCTGCTCTAAGCACCATAGAGCTCCCCCTTCCCCTTCCACACCAGCAGACACAGCTTCTCCAGGGGCTGAGCCCAGCCCTGCTGCCACCCAAAATCAGGGTGCAGCTGCGAGTGCCAAAGCTCCAGGGAGAAGAGGCCACTGGGAGAGGTTTTCCCCCCTCCTGACCCCCAGAGTTAGGCTGGGTATTTATGATGGAAACACCAGCACCATGACATCCTTGAGACTCCCACTTCAGCCCTGGCACCCCTATCACCCACACCAGGGCTCTGTGAGTGTTTGGGGATGGCAGAGCCCGACCTTGCCAGGCTCTGCTCTGCCATCTGCTCCCGATATCTGCCTCTTCCCACGGGGCCATGGTACTGACACCGCTGCCCATTGTGTGAGGGGGGGGGTGTCTCCGTGTGCTCTCCACTTTTGCATAGCATGTTGTGCAGCTGTGCCAATCCCTGGCCACAGCCAGGGGGTAGCAACCGGACACGCTGGGAACACGGCACCCGCTGGAGGAGCTCTCCAGGTGGGAGCTGCCTTTCCATAAACAAACTAATTCTGCTGTCAGTTAACGAGTTCAAGGGCATGTCAGGCTGGAGGCAGCTCTGCAGCTCATGGCAGGCTTGGCAGGCAAAGGGGGTCCTGCTGAGCCCTCCCAAGGCCTGGTTTTCTGGGAAGGTGCTGCACACCCTCTGGCTAAGCTTGCTTCCCCTCCCTGGTCTCGGGTTTGAGCTGAAGCCGTGTTCTTAACATCCCACAGCACCTGGTTGGTCATTAATCACCTCCCACCTGTAAATTCACTGTTGGGAAAGCCAGGCTGGGAGTCAGCGCAGGGAGGGCAGGTGACACAGTGGCCACCACGCCGTGGGTGGGACTTTGGCTTTACCACAGAACATCACCCACCACCCCCAGACTGAACTGCTGCAGGGACCGATGGGGATGGGTGGGAGCTCCCGAAGCAGGCAGCGCTCACAGATCCATTCCTGGTCTCTCCCAGGCCCAGCCCGCCCTGTGGCAGAGGCAGGTGGACTTTGCCCCCCCCGGAAGACGCTGCACGCAGGGGCCTCCGGGGATGCCGGCAGAGCCCGTCACCTGAGCACGCCATGGCAGGTAGGTAAAACCCATACTCTCACCTGCTCTCAGCTGGGAAGGGTCCCCGTGCAGGCACAGTTGGGGGTCCTGCTTTGGCTTCACCTCATGGGGCAGGCGAGGGTCCAGCCCAGCCCCCAAAACCGGCTCAGCCCGTTGCTAAACAGCCCCGAGCGCTGCTTGCTACCAGACCCCCATGGCAGAGCTTGTTTTTCTGAGATTGCTATGACAGCAGCGAGCTGGATCAGCTGTCCCATCCAAAGCCCCTCCCTGCTGTGCCCCCAGACCTCTGCAGCGGGCCCCCCGAAATCCTGGTCCCAGCTGCTGACGAGACACTGCAGCTGGCGCTGGGGAGCCAGGTCGTGCTGAACTGCACCGTGCGCTGGGCCGGGGCCGAGAGCTGCCGGCCCATCTCTGCCTGGAGCAAGGATGGGCAGTGGCTGGGCAACGGGAGCAGCCAGGACATCGCCTGGTAAGGAGCCTGCCCTGGGGACATCCATCCATCCTGGGCGGGGGAGTCATCACACAGCCCAACCCATGGCGGCCCCATCTCCCCTCAGGTCTGCCCAAAACACCTCGGAGCAGTTCCTGGCCACCGTCCTGCACCTCAACCTCACCCACGATGCTGACTTTGGGGTGTTTGCCTGCTGGCTCAGCAACGCCACAGCCACCTTCACCCTGCAGCGAGCGGGTAGGGACAGGCTGGAGACAGGGAGGGGGCACCCCCATGGAGAGCCCACATGCTATGGGGGATTGGCCAGGGCCACCAGCCACACTCACCGCGTCCTTCCCTGTCCTCACAGAGACAGCGGGGCACGTGCCGGCGGTGCTGGCAGCCCTGCTGGTCCTGGCACTCCTGGTGCTCCTGGCTGTGCTCTACGTCCAGTGCCGCCTGAACATGCTCCTCTGGTACCGGAACCGCTACGGCGAGCTGGAGATCAACGGTGAGCTGGGGGGAACAGCTCCCCTGGGAACAGCTCGCCCTGGTCCGAGGGCTCACAGACCCCTGTGTTCCCCCCTGCCCCGTGGCTCTCCCCAGATGGGAAGCTGTACGACGCCTACGTCTCCCACGCCACTGCCCCCGACGACCGAAAGTTCGTGCACTTCATCGTGAAGCCGCAGCTGGAGAACCGCTATGGCTACAAGCTCTTCCTGGATGAGCAGAACATCCTGCCCAACTCAGGTAGGCACCAGCCCCACATGGGGCTGGGCAGGGGGTCACACGGGTGCACAGGTGCTTGAGACCCCTTTGCCCACAGAACCATCAGCCGACCTGATTATGAACGTCAGCCGGTGCCGGCGCCTCATCGTGGTCCTCTCTGTTGCATACCTGGAGCAGGACTGGTGCAACAGCAGCTTCAGGTAGAGGTGGAGCAGCTGCCAGGGGAGAGGAGAGGGGCTGGTGGGTCCTTCACCCCTCTGCCACATTCCTGTCTTGCAGGGAAGGGCTCTGGAGGCTGCTGGAGCTTTCCAGGAAACCCATCTTCATCATCTTCGAGAGCCAGTACCGGGAGATCACCCACCCTGCCATCACCCTGCTGAAGCAGCACCAGAACACCGTGACCCTGCTGGTGTGGCGATCCGGCTCCATGGTGAGCTCTGAGCTGGATCCTGACCCACTGGCACCCCTCTTCCATCCCCAGCACCCCTCTGTGTCAGCCTCCCTGCTGCCCTCTGGGGCTGCTCCATGGTGAGAGCTGAGCAGGACCAATCCCGGCAGCACTTCACTTCCGTTCCCAGCTCCCCATTTTGTGTCAGCCTCCCTCTGGGGCTGCTCCTCAGGTTCCAATGCTAAAGAGCAGCTTGGGGCACTTGTCTTTTAGAGGCAATTTAAAAATGCAACCAGAACAACCCTGGATCTGGGTGCTTACCTCCAAACCTGCACAGTCAGGGCCCTGTGATGTTCCAGGGTCTCCCCAGCCCCAGCTCTCAGAGCGGAGCTTTGGACCTCGGCCGCTCCGGCCATTTCAGGGCCAGGCTGGGAGCTGGAGCCCTGAGGAGTGTTCCAGCAGGTCAGGCCGGTTTCTCTGCTGGCACATGGGCACGATGCCACACTGGAGCACAGCCCTCACTTTGGCTGAGCTCCCACCACCAGGAAGAGCAAGCCGAGCCTGTGAAACCCTCCCCAGCACCGTGTGGGGCCAGGCTCGGCTCTGCCGTGGTCCCAGCACAGCTCATCTGCCCCTCTGACCCTGCAGACCCCCTCGTCGGACTTCTGGAAGGAGCTGCGCCTGGCCCTGCCACGCAAGGTGTCCTTCCAGGGCAGCGTGGGGGACCCACAGACCCAGCTGCAGGAGGACAAGGACCCCATGCTGATCCTGCACAGCAGCTACCTGGACAGCACAGGAGACCTCGATCCGGATGGAGACCTTGGCACAGGTCCGTGTCTCCCACTGTTCCTCCTGGGGGGACAGTTGTGT